TTATTTAATAAATAGCTTGAACTCACAATGTCATTATATCACAAAATTCTCAAACCAACACTTTAATCCACTAGGCCATTTTCTTGTTCATTCCCTGGCTTGGGCAGTACGTACTTTCACTCAGTGGAAATGGGCGAGTAATAATGGAACAGTATTAAATAAAAATAAGAACTAGACAATATCCCTGGACATGTGTAGTGGAATGAGAACAGTCTATCCCCATAGATTAAATAAAGGGTTTACTTCAGACTTCCCTGTAGGTTACCCAGATTAACATACACCTGAGGTAGACCAGAGGGCACAACAGATGAAACATTGTGATAACAACAACAAAGATTAGGACAATAGTCCAAATATAAATTGTGTGAATAATAACTCCTCATTCTAGAAATTCAGACAGAATTTAATGAACTGATAACTTGAAAACTGTCTTTTCTTGAGTATGATGATAGAAAAGAAAATTCTTAATGTGATTTTCTTGTTCACATCATTGTTGAGAAAAGTATTTACATACTTGAGTTTGTTTGTATATGTGCTGGCTTTAAAGTGTGTATAATTTCTTACATGCATGTTGTTTGACTTATATACCAATATGGTATATGCAAAGGTTCACCAATCCTTGCTAATACTGATTACTCCACTATCCACCACCCCAATCAATAAACTATAATTTGCAGTAGGAGACATGTTATATCTGCAATTTGGAATAGGTTCAGTCCTGGAGCTCAATATATGCTCTTTCAATTTCTCCTCAGGAATTGCCATGTGAATCTTTGTTGGAGAAATTTTTTTTTTTTAGATTGGATCTGAACATGTGCCTTTTAGTAGAATAACAATTTGGTCACTGTTTGATATGAAACAAATCTCAAAGATGTGCCAATTTCAGACTTAATTCTTAATCTGTGATTGGTCACTTAACCAAGTTTTCTTAAATTCATTTTGTATTGGAATTTATTCCATTTGACTTTTTTAGCATATCAAGTTTTGGCGGATTTTGTTAAAATTTTGATTTTAATTTCTGTTGTTGCTGTTTAGGAGGTACAGTCGAGTAATGGGTAGCAGTTTGGATTAAACAATTAGAGAGGCAAATTTGAATTCCATTTGAGTTCATTACATTCACTTATGTGCTAATATCCTTGGGAAAGGTATGAATCCATCTCTTCTCTCCCCAGATATGAGTTAACTAGCAGGACAGACTGGGTCTTATAGCCTTGAGTTGCAACAGCTCTAGGAGGTCAGCTCTGAATTCAAACTCTGAATACAACTCAGACAATATTCCATGGTCTTTGGTTATTGGTCAAGAGCTTGAAGAGGAGATAGGTACCACTAAATTATCTGAAAGCCCACTGAAAGAATCATGAGAAAGAATCAAAGTCAGTTTCTTCTGCCTTCAGGTCTCCACCACCAATGACTAAAATAGTCAAGGGACTGATGATGATGATGATGATGATGAGTGGTAGTTTTGATCATTTCAATCAACTTCTTTTTGATCTTCAATGCATTTTTACATTGTGATACAATGCACACTCAGGTAGAAGGTGGTTTTAACTTGATCTCAAGTGTTTCTGTTTGATGGACCAGAAGATAGAAGACTGAACTTCAAAAGGAACTAAGTGGCATCCACTTTGACCAAAGGATAATGATAGAAGTAAAGGGATGGATAAGGGGTTTTGGGTGTTCAAATCACAACAAAACTGGAAATAGGGTAGATCTGGGTGCTGGTCTATATTAAAGTCACATAGTTCTGGCACATCCTTGGTTGAAGTTGAACGTATCTGTATCACAGTTCTGAAGCCTATATTTTGTATTGCTAGCCACCACACTGGGATGAGTAGATGGGCAAGAAGTTGGCAGTGGTGAAGAGCTGACATAGCAGAAATTGTTCCAAGTATCACCTACCTACCCACCTGAATAAACACCTACATATAATATGGGAAACAGGATTCATGTTCTTATTTATGAATGTGGCCTTTCTTTCATCATGTTATCTTGACAGCATGCACTTCGTCAGCTTTTGGTGTACACCAACAAGATCAAGAATTGGAATGCAACATTGATGATCATTGGCTGGTAGAAAGCTTGGGCAAGGATTGCATTGTATGTTTGAAACATTATAACTATAATATAAATATTATAACCATAAATATAATAATAAATATATATATATATGTGAAGAAATTTACTCTTAAGGTGTGCTATATTTATGGGGTAAAGTGATCAATATCAGATAGAGCGTGTATAAATATAAAAGTGAACATTGAAGTCAACACTTAGAGGCAACAGGCTGTTTCATGCTAGATGCAATCGTCAGGCCTGACAATTGAGTCCAGCATGAAACAGCCTGTCGCCTCTAAGTGTTAACTTCAATGTTCACACACACATATATATATATATAGATAGATAGATAGATAATTTACTCAGAAGGATAATACTCAAGTGCCATTATCGAATCTTATCAAAATATAAATCTACACCCCAGTTTCTTTCCGATCTCACCTTTCCTCAGAGAATTATTCCTTTCCCAAGCCAATGTACATGACCACAAAAATGTTGAAAAATCAAAAGAAAACAGTTAAATCGATTACATGTTTTTGAAGATGTGCAGCACATCCATTCATCCCATAACAATCTGGTCAGAATTTAAACACTATTTATAAAAAAATAATTTCTTGGATATTATTTGCTCACTTTTGTCTTACCAGACTTTGAATTATAGCACTTTATGTCTTCCATGTGTTTTGACTGACCCCTGACGAATATTCATGAATGTTCTCAAATTTAAAGCCGTGATAAACCATTAACATCCTTGCTTTTGTATAGAAACGTGTGCAATAAAATAAATCCTTACATTTGCCTGTCCTGGGTATGACGATAAACTACATCCAACAGCAAGGCCTCTGATCAGGAGGTTTTGAGGGGCATGGAACCACCTCTTAATTGCTGGTGTTCCCAGGTCCACCCTGACCTGGGGTGGTAGCACCTGTTTGGGTCCCAGCTATGGGCAAATATTTGACACCCAAACTTGTGTAAAAATAGCTTTTAATACCAGAAATACTTTGTAAAAAAAGCCAAGAGAAATTTACAGTGAAACACATACTGTTAGTGTGTAGATTTTGATCTAGAGCGAACAAAATATTATCAATTGAGTAAAAAAAATTTTTACAAAAATAAAACCATCCAAGATTGTAAATTTCCTAAGTTGGATTGTACTCAAAAATATGAGTAATTGAAAAATGGTTCATATATATATATATTTATACATACACACCTTTTTTACCAAACTATCACTATGAATCTATTTCAAAATTTTGTTGGCATTAAATGACCCACTCAGGTTGATATGCCATAAAACAAAACAACCAACCAACTTACATTTGCCTTGATAAAGTTCCTCAGAGGATGGAATGCATCAGCTAAAATAGTTTTTTCCTCATTGATCATTGGCTAGTAGAAAGCTTGGACAAAGATTGCATTGTATGTCTAGAACATTATACATATAATCATTCATTTCTATAAATAACACCTGCATTGATTGCTGACCACTGATTATCCTTCTCTTCCTGATTTTCAATGAATTTCTATTGTAAAATAATTATCAATACATTTAAATTGTACTTATAATATCCTTATTATGTCAATAAGGCTGCCATTAATTCCTGGCAACTGATAATCCCTTTCATTTTCAACATTTTTTTCATTTAAATTTTAGAGAAAAATAAACAAAAATTGCCAAATTCAGTACTTGAACATCAATTACTTTACTGTCACCAGAAATACTGTATAAAATTACTAAAATTAAGATAGGGAATGATGGGGTAGTGATAGAGTCAGTGGTCAATTAGAAAACACAAAACCCTTCCCAGTTTCAAGTATGATTTTGCTGTACCATAACATTAGGGCAGTGGTTCCCAAACTCTTTTTCTTTGGGCTGCATTTTCTGAATTAAAATTTGCTCATACCTCAACAAATTTTATGTGATAAAAAGTATATCTAAAAATAAAAAACAGGGAGAGAGTTAAAAGGGAGATAACCATGGATTTGAAGTCAGAAAATTATCATTGATAACTCTCTCCTCCAATTTGCAGACCTGAGTTACTATATTCTTAATATTTGATATAATGCAAAAATATCACAATGATAAAATCAGTCAATAATTATTTATAAGTATTTATACTGGGATCCATGCATGTGATTACAAATATTCCATAATAATATTTTAAATTTTGAAATCATATTTATTTGTGGCATATATTTTGAAATTGTTTCTAAATCTTTGTCTTTCAATCATTCCATCTTACCTGCTACCCTCTTCAGCCATACCGTTTGGGAAACATTGCATTAGAGTGAATGAAACTTGACATATTTGTGTATGAAGGACTTAATAAATCTCTAAATGCATATGTGCTTTCTGAACACACACACACACACACACAATTGGTAGTATGAACAGGAATGCCTCATCCTCTCAAAATTTAAAAGTCAAGTTTCTCTATAACCAAATACCTGATTTTCTTTTTGGAATCCTTTCTTGGCTAATTCTAGAACTTTTCAGCATTCCCTTGTAATGTAGGAAGAACTTCATCTAAATTATATGTATCTTTAAATAGTGCAAAGCAACCTTTCCAATTAATATGGTTATGTTTTTCTTAAAAGGATAAAATTAATGCCTTAAATTTTCACAAGTCACAAGAAAAAGAACATTTAATTTTTATTCATTTCAGTAATGAAATGAATGTGAACTTAAAGTAAAAATTTTTAAAAATCAACATACCATTATATTATTTCAAGATTTTGTTTTGCACTATCTTCAAATCAAGGTCTGGAGATGTTTGTGAATCAAACCTTACGTAAAATTGTTTTTCAGTGTTTTCTACATCCAAATTAAAAACATTTTAAAATTTTTTTAGAAAAAACACAAAACTTGTCTGTTTATTTATTATTTGTATATATTGTTGATTACAATAATGTTAGTACAGAAAAATATTAAATCTATTTTTTGGTCAAGTCTCCAAGAATTTAGCCCATATGGCATCTGATGGTTCAGGAGGCATCACCCATGAGTTTGGGATACGGCTGGCTCCAGGAGTGTTCTCTGGTACCAAATAACTGTCCCAGTCTCTCCTGAAAAAGATAGAGAGAAACTATTAGCAACAAATATTAACAAAAGGCGATATAATGCTACTCATCATAGATTGTTATATTTGAATACACAAATGTAGCAATTATTATAGAATTGGCAGTAACAAAAAAAAAAAGAACCAAGAAAATAGTTTTGCCTAGTTTTTTAATTTAAAAAATAAATAAATACAGAAATTATATTTTTCCAAATTTATTTACTTTTTAAAATCATTTAACCCCATGCAAGGCAGTAAAGCCACTAAGACACAAGGGGTTACAGAATATGAAAGAATAAGGAAAAAGAGAAACATTATGAAGGAGTGAGAACAACAGAAGTAATCAAGACGACAGTAGATAATGATTGACATTGATATTCAAAAGTTTTAAATGCAAAGTTAGCAGGAAAGCAAGAAGCTAAAAGACAAGCAAGAAGTACAAGAAAAGAAACTGTTAGCATAGAACTTATGGTTATATCTAGCCAATTCAATGTAAATTGATGAGACTTTGTTGCCAATCTAGTACTATTTTTAAATTCATAAAGTCTTGGTACCATAGTGGAGAGTTCATCTGAACACTTACCATGAAAATATTTATAGAAAAGGCATAGGGAAGATACATTATGGTGGTGGATGTTACAATTTTTGGATACATTATGTACTAGTGAGTTAGCCCAAATGACTTGACTCGCTTTATAGTCCACCAATAGAAGGTTAACTAATCAGAAGACGTAGAATATTCAATCCGTCGTGTATAAAGGCGGCCATTTTGTTTACTCTACCCCAGTTCCAGTTCCAGCTTGTCAGGCGAAAAGAAACAGAAGGACGAACTACACTCTGCTACTTTTACTGGGATATCCACTGCTAACCTGAAATACGCTTCCCTACTGTCTTTGAAATATTCACTGCCAACCTCTGGATTCTATACTCAAAAGACGACCGTCATCATGAACAACAGTGGAAAAGTGACTGAAGCTGTGATGCCAGGTCAGGACCAATAATATTGCCAATTCATCTTTGGATTTTATCAATAATGTATAAATATATAGTAGAAGCACTGGATCATATGTGGCAGCAATATTCAAATTAAGAACAAATGGTAGACTTATAAATATATATGATAGATTCTGGAGAGAAGAAATTGTCTTGCATGACACAGTGAACCAACTTTCTTAGCAGTAGACTTAGTAATTGATTCAATATAATCTTTCCACCTCATGCCAGTTGAGAATGTTAGCTCAAGAAGTTGTAATGAGTCACTTTCATGGAGGTTACCATTAGCCATGCTGATGGGAGGTAGAAAGGAGTATTTCAGATGAATAAGAGCAGTTTCATTTTGGAGACATTAAAATTAACAAGCCATTTCTTGCTCCAGTTAATAACGGAGTGTAGGTCATTTTGAGATCAGCTTCCAATTTGAACTTATTGAAATATCAGACTTACTATTGTGACAGGAGTAAATAGTGTCATCAGCATAGATACCAAGTTGAGAAGTGATTCCATGACATCACTTCTCAACTTGGTATGATTTTTCATCAATGACTTTCCTAATGGCAAAAAAAGATTTAAAAGAAAGGCTGTTCAGAACAACTTTTATTTTGTAATTTGGTAAGACTGAATCAGTTCAAAAATTTGTCCACAAATAACCTTTCAACTTATGAAGAAGACCAGTATGTAAAACCCTGGTGAGTGCTTTTGAGATGTCCAAGGCAACAGCCCAAAATTCACCTTTCAATTATAAAATTCCAACTATTTCCAAAACCTCTGCACTGTCCTCAGTTTTGACACCCAAACACTCTGAAATGTTTATATTGGAGCTGATGGAATGAATTGCGTCATAGTGTTTTTTTTTTCTACAGATAGTGCCCAACTGACCCTACTATACTGTGCAGTTGACAAAATCAAAAACAAATAATGCACATGCACAAAATTAAAAATGAATTTTGACAAGAATTGTTTTTATTTTTGAAAAATCTTAATTAGAATGATTTATACAGTTTTAAATTTTTTAAAATTCTTTATTAATTTTTACCTGTTAGGTGATATTGTTATTAAGTAAAAACTATATTTACTAGTCATAAATGGAAAAGCTTCAGTGGTCATACTTTATGTAGACTTTTCAGTTAGCCTGATGAATATTTATGAGCTTTTCTTAAATTTAAAAATTTTGAGAACCTAATATTTTTACTTTTGTTTATAAATACTTGTGCTTATCCCAGAAAAATTCTTGCCAAAAAGAAATGAAGTTCTGTGATATGACAACAAATATGGATAAGAGGAAAAGAACTTCGACTTTGTTAATGAGTCTAAATAGTAAAGCCAGATAAGCAGTGATGGAAATAGACCCTGATAAATTAAACACAGAAAAGGAATGAAATTATTGTATAAAAAGTTGGACTCTCTCTTCAAGGTGGATATTAATCAAGCCAAAACAGGTTTTCTCCTCAATGTCGACATTTAAAATATTTTCATTTTTGCCAGTAGCTTTTCCAGTACAACTGATGACTTTCATTTTCTTTCAAGAAGGATCATTGTTTGATACTGCTTTGCACATTATCTGTTTGTATACTTAATAGCAGTAATGGGTTTTACCTTTTGCCATAAAGTGCTTCTAATTTTTTCAGATGACTCCACCTGAATAAAAGCCATTCTTGTTACATGCATTGTATTCAAGTTGTTAACTATGGATTCACTTGATGTAACACTCTAAAGCTGGGAGTTTGTTTATCAGAACAGAAAATGCATCAGGATTTTGTCCAAATACTAATTGATTTGGACGATAACCATTGACATTATGCAAGTATTTTTGGAGCTCATTGACTAAGCTAAATGGCAAGTTCTAAGCTGCAACTAGTGTCTTCCATAGTTTTGAGTACCATTTCATTAAGTATAACATTGTGGTGCTCATTCAATCCATTGCTACATGGACTTTGTACTGGTGTAGTTTGTACAATAATATTTAAATTCTGAGCCATGACTCCGAAACCTTGATTATCAAATTCTTGCCCATTATCAGTTAGAAAACTAGAAGGAAATCCAAAATATGCAATCCAAAATTGAAATATGTCAATAATTTCTGAACTTTTTTTTGACTGGGTTCTCCTGCTTGTGCAGTATGGTGCAGAGTCCTGTTGCCAGACATAGGGTCACCCAGCAATCACCCTTTTGATCCAGAGCAGCACTCTCTCCTCAAGGCATTTGATGTAGGCCTCGGTGTTGTGTCTGAGGCCATGTGGGAAGATGAATGAGACATAACATCACCATCACTAGCACTCACTCCAGACACCTCTGTAATGACCATTAGACTTATTCAACTCTTCCCAAAATCTCTGCACTGTCTTCAGTTTTGACACTCAAAAACTCTGAAATGTTTGTATTGGAGCTTCTGGTGTAAATGCCAAGTAGTACAGCATACCGTTTCCAAATTTCTGGCAGACTGAATTGCATCATAGTGCTCTTTTTCTCACAGATGGTGCCCAAGTGACCCTACTATACTGTGCAGTTGACAAAATCAAAAACAAACAACATACTTGTGTGAAATTAAAAAAAAATAAAAAATGGTCACTTCAATATATATATATCATATATATATATATATATATATATATATATATATATATGTGTGTGTGTGTGTGTGTGTGTGTATGAAAAGTGTATATAAATAAATATATATATGTATAATTATTTATATATTATATGCGCGGTACTTATTAGAAAGTGCTCAATATCAGAGATAGAGCTAACATATTTGGTTATTTTGGACATCTATCCAACCAAATATATATATATAATAAATTTACTTATTTAAAAATGTTTCCATTGCTACACAGGAATTACCATGCTTCAAAAGCAGAAACTGAAAATTTCAAATTCAATTATAGAATTAAATTAAATATATCTTATTGTTCTTTCTCTTTATTATATATATATTAGTACAGTTTTCAATGTTACTGTTTTTTGTCTATAGTTTCAAAACACAAGAAAATAAAAGACAATAAACAAAACAACTTTGGCTGCTGTAACAACAAAAACAACTTACTTGCCTCGTGAGTTTTATCTTCTCTATAGTCAAATAACAACTCAATGAAGAAGAAACCATAAATGATTATTTTACTGATACCAGAGCCAAGAAGTTTACCTGATTTGTATGAAGGCTTCCCAGCTGTACTCAGCTTGACTATAAAATTTCATGAAAGGGTAAATTGGGTCATCATCATCTATTGTTCCTTAGAAAAAAACAAAAAGAGAAAACAGTGAATACTAGATTTACTTTCAAAAGAATATTTACAGATTTAAACTCTAAGTGCATCCTTCTTAAAATTCTTAAAACATTTTTTTCATGATTATAAAAAATTTCTAACAAAAATTGAAAAAAAGAACAAGAAAACATGTACACACACATCTTAGTTCCTGAACAATGACAATCCTTAATTCTTAATTTTTAAATGCATAATGTACTTGCAACTTGTTCAAACAAATAAAAAAGAAAATAATAAAATTTAGAGCTTAAGCATACACTTATTTTACTCCTACCACCAGATTTAGCTTATTAAGAAAATGATGGCTTGACTACTGTTTACCAGACACAGATAGGAAAAGTAGCAGTGATTTATTGTTTGCTTATTAGGTAATTTTTTATTTTTTAATCTGTGAATTGCCATGCAATCTTGGGAAAGATAGTGGAATGATTTCACCATGATTTAGAATTCAAACTTTTCTTTTTCCCCAAGCTGCTTGTCACCAAAGGCTAGAGTGCCCAGTCTACCCTGCTATTTAACCTCTAGCTGGAGAGAATAGAGATGAATTCAAGCCTTTCTTAAGAGCATTAGTGTGAAAAATAAAATTAACTAAATTATTGGCCAAATGATTAATTTATAACAGTCTAAAAATGTTATAGAGAAGTTAAAATCTTTAAAAACATCAATGATTAATTCTTAAAGGAAAACAAAGGTATTCAAGACATGAAATTTATATCAATTCTTAGTTTTCTTAAATTTTCTTTCTTGTCTTTTTTTTTTATTTTCTATAAAAAATTTGATTGTTTCTTTGAAAGTTATCAGCAAGCAATAGCTGTAAAGTTGAGGTGCCAAAAAAATTAATATGCGTATGTATTATGATGATCCAAGTAAGAATTGCAGTCGTATGCAGTCAGTATTGATTCTACAGTTCAAGTACCATAGTATTTAGCCATGTACCCACATCATAATGAAATGTGACACAAGGTTGAGTTTAATGTGGATTTATCGGCAGTACTGTAGAAAAATTCTCATGCCCCTTGGAACTTTCCCATTTTGTGAACACCTCAGGTGCTGAGCAATAAACCAGACCCTCTCCTGAAGGTGAAGTACTGCCTGTGGCAATGGCCCCCAAGGCTTAAGCAATATTATCAGCAGAGGAACGAACTCCTCTGCCTGCCAATGACACAAGACATTGGTTGCACCACTGACAACAGTACAAGTACCATGGTATTTACTTGTATTCCCACGGTGACATGATGTGACAAGAGGTTGGTTTAATACACCTGAGCTAGAGCCAAATATTGCCCAAACCCCACAATCATCAGTTGTGATGACATCGGTATTACTACCCCCAATCTCAGTTGTGTCTCTGTGGACAGAGTGCAGCTGAAAAAAAATTGACAGGTGCCTGGTCCTGAGGGAGCAGCTGCTGTTGCAGTACCCTCTAAATGCACTGCAATGAGAGGGTACTGCAACAGCAGCTGCAACCCCAGGACAAGGCACCTGTCAATATTTTTTCAGCTGCACCTGTCCACAGAGACACAACTGAGATATGTTAACAGTACAAGCAGTACAAGTAACATTGTCACTACCTTACGTATTGAGCCTATACATAACATCTACTCATACACATGCTAATTAGCAATAGCACTAAGCAAGCACCGCTACAGTATGATTTATTGCCAGTAAATTTTACAATTTATGTGGGTCCTAAAGAGTAGAATATGGTGAGTTAGAAGCCATTGTCAAAATGCAAGATAAATAATGCAAACAGAATTAATAAAGTTTGCAATGAAAAGAAAAAAAGGCAAAAAAGATGAAACGGCAACAATCATGCAAGCTAGCAAACAATATAGTTAAATCAAACAGCTAAGAAGGCAAAAGAATTCACAAACTATGAGTTGGTGTTTGTACACAAAAGCAAGGTCATACAAGCGAATGCAGTATGTCTGGCTAGTACTTAAGTCAGATCTGGACTGAGTCATGTCAAAACGCAAACCATCCCATTTTATTGGCCAAGAAAAATATCCCAGCATGCATTTTGTGTCCTTCCTACTATAAAAGGGAGAGGGGGAAAACTTCTACAATCATTCCCTGCTGTTAGGGAAATGAACAGAATAACAACACAATTACAGTATTGTCAAGACATGCTGACAATTGGCTGAAAGAATAATAATTTTAACACAATTATAGTTTTGTTATATTCTTTCAAAATTATTTTAATGCCACTATATTGTTTAAAGTTCATGAAGTAATTATTCTAAATAATAAACTAATAAAGAATTTGGAAACTAAACAAAATCTTACTTTTTCCAAAGAGTAGCTGTTGTTCTCTTTTTTGTTCTCTCTTCTCTATCTCAGCTTGCACTTTATGCGAGTGAGCACGTTCTCTTTCTTTGGTTTCTTCTTGTTCACACTCAAGCATCACCTGAAATTAAAATAAGAGATAAAGCAGTTTATAAAACTCTGCAAAGCTATATATATATATATATATATATATATATATAAAAAAAATTTTTTTAATACTTTACATGTACAAGAGGGGACAGAAAAGTTCTCACCAAAAAAAAAAAAAAAAAAAATGTTTAGTCGTTTGATTAGATGGTAGGAAGTTGGTAAGGCATAGAACTTTACAGAACCTTCTCTTAATGATTAAAAATAAATCTTACTTTGATAATTGTCTTTTTTTTAAATATTTGGATATGAAGAAATTTCTGTGGTAACATCTGGGAGATATTAATCAGTATAAGCTGATTAAGCCTAATAACATTTTACTCTGAAGAATTCATACATAGACTGTTTATAAATAAACACAAAATAGAAGAATTTTAATGGCACTAACAATTATACGTTTTTAAATGAAAAACTTTCCTTTTTCCTTCATTGATAAAAAATATATTGAATTCATATACATGGTTGGATGATTTCGTTTAGCAGCATAATAACCTCTACAGGTTACTTAATGCCAAAATCTAAATATTTTGAATGCAATTGTATGCCTTCAACTACAGATAAAATGCATTGTTGGTCATTTTGCTATATGCATTGTTGGTCATTTTACTATAAATATGTATTCTTGGTATGGGTTTACAGGTTCACCATTTGCCCACAGCTGGGACCATAACAGATACTTACTACCTCAGGTCAGGGTGGATTTGGAAATGAACAATTAAGAGGTGATTCATGCCCCTCAAAACATTCAATCTCCTGATCAGAGGTCTTGCTGCCAGATGTAGTTTAGAACAAAGGGAGAGAGTTTGAAAAGAAGAAGACAAAGGAGATAGAGAGAGTGAAATTTGAAGATCAGAGAGAGAGAGAATGAAAATGTGAAGACCAAAGAGAGAGAGAGAGAGAGTGAAATTTGAAGATCAAGGAGAGAGAGAGAGAGAGAGACAGAGCGAAAATGTGAAGACCAAGGAGAGAGAGAGACAGAGCGAAAATGTGAAGACCAAGGAGAGAGAGAGACAGAGCAAAAATGTGAAGACCAAGGAGAGAGAGAGACAGAGCAAAAATGTGAAGACCAAGGAGAGAGAGAGAGAGAGAAAATGCGAAGACCAAGGAGAGAGAGAGAGAGAGCAAAATGTGAAGACCAAGGAGAGAGAGAGAGAGAGCAAAATGCACCAAGGAGAGAGAGAGAGAGAGAGCAAAAATGCAAGACCAAGGAGAGAGAGAGAGAGAGCAAAAATCCAAGGAGAGAGAGAGAGAGAGCAAAATGGAATACAAGGAGAGAGAGAGAGAGAGCAAAAATGCGAAGACCAAGGAGAGAGAGAGAGAGAGAGAAAAAATGCGAAGACCAAGGAGAGAGAGAGAGAGAGAGAGCAAAATGCGAAGACCAAAGGAGAGAGAGAGAGAGCAAGACCAAGGAGAGAGAGAGAGAGCAAAATGGAGAAGAGAGCCAAGGAGAGAGAGAGAGAGAGAAAATGCAAAACCAAGGAGAGAGAGAGAGAGCAAAAATGCGAAGACCAAGGAGAGAGAGAGAGAGCAAAAATGCGAAGACCAAGGAGAGAGAGAGAGCGAAAATGTGATGACCAAGGAGAGAGAGAGAGCGAAAATGTGATGACCAAGGAGAGAGAGAGAGCGAAAATGTGATGACCAAGGAGAGAGAGAGAGCGAAAATGTGATGACCAAGGAGAGAGAGAGATGACCAAGGAGAGAGAAAATGTGATGACCAAGGAGAGAGAGAGAGCGAAAAAAAGGAGAGAGAGAGCAAAAATGTGATGACCAAGAGAGCGAAAACAAGAAGACCAAAGAGAGAGAGAGAGAGAAAGCATGAATTTGAAAGTTAGAATTAGCATTTGTTCATTCATTCTGAAAGAGGATAATATAAGATTTGTTAATAAGTTCAATAGATTTAACAAACTTCTGGCCAGGATAAGCATCTTGATATGAAACTTGATTTGGCTAACCAGAGAAATCACTTGAAGTCTTCTTGATTTATTGAATAGAATTCAATAGCTGATACTCCCTGACAAGTGGATGAAGTGATGGCTAGAAGGTCTGTCTATGAAAATCTGGAGTTGGGATGCTGAAGGTAACACCAATCTGCTAAGTGACAAACTTCATATTTATATTAATTCTATATAAAGTTTGTCACTTAGCTGATTAGTATTACCTTCAACATAAAGAGATAAAAGCATTATCTAGATAGTAAACTTGACTTACCATCAGAGTTCGTTGTTCAGCTTCATAAATTTCCATCTGACGGTTAAGCATTCTTTGCAACCGAGGAATATCTTCTTCAAATTTTTGGTCACAATGAAACAAGGTATACAAACCTGATGTTAAATGAGAAAAGACAAAGATAAAAAGAAGTACAGCATATATATAGAAATAATGATTTCTGGAAATTAATTTCTTAAAATTAGTTTTGACTAATTTAACCTATTCAATTAGGATCAGGCAAAAAAAAAAAGAAAAAAAAAAAAAAGGATATACTATAGAATTCAAGGTTTCACAAAAGTTACCTAATAAAACTGATGTTGGTAAAATATTCAGGTAACATTTCAATATTATATTTTATATAGACTTTTTGGATATTTCATGTACCAGCTGTAGTTTCCCCCAGTGGTTGTAGAGAATCCTTTAACTCACAAGGGTGTGTCTTGCACTTTCTACTACCCTTTGTACTTTCCTGGAACTAATCAATGTCTTGACTGATAAACCTAGTGGAACTAGCTTTAGGTATCTACATTTGTATAGGAATGTTAGGTGATTTGACATCTGTGCCAATTTTTGATGGAGTTTTTCTAACCACCTCCATTGGTGTAACACATTGGGTCGGTACTGGTTCGATAATTCTTGTTTGAATTTCTGGGATGAAGATTTATCATTACTTACACTATTTATATTCAAACTATTGTTCTAATCTTTGCTGTTACCACAACATTTTGGCCTTTGTGCCATCCAGCCTTCCTCAGGCTTATACTGATCTGGGTAACCTATAAGGAATTTTGAACTGAACTGTTCTCATGTCTAGGGATATCATCTAGTTCTTATTTTATTTAGTATGTTCCTGGGAAGAATTTGATCAAATATTGTGTGTATTTAATTCCTTGCAATTGTGGTAGAGAATATAAAGGTAAAACAAACCACCCCCCTAAAAGTAAGAGTGAAGGAACATTGAAAAGCCACAGTGAGAGGTAAGACAATGAAATTGGGCATGGCTATTCATGTATAGAGGGAAATGAGTAGTCATCAGCCCCTGCGGAATGAAGTGGAAATACTGGGCAACAAAAAACACTGCAGAGTTAGAAAGCCTGAAAGAATCAGCAAATATGCTAGTAGGCCTAGCATAGAAATAAATACAATATGGGAACTACTAATGAAGAAAGAAAGGCAAATGACATCAAATCATTAACCGCAGCAGCAGCAAATCAAAACATGGGCAGACTGCAGCAACAGTAGTTACAACCTAATCAGGAGTCAGGTTAAGTTTAAAGCTTTAAGTATACTACATGGACAATAGCCTAGTGGATAAAAACTTTGGTTTGTAAATTTCGTGACATAGTGGTTGTGAGTGCAATCCCTGGGTCAGGCAGTGTGTACTTGCACTCAACAAAAATGGGCAAGCAAATAAAATAAGAACTAGACAATATCCCTATCAGTGGAACAAAATTAAATAAAAGGGTTTAGTTCAGAATTCCCTGTAGGTTACCCAGATTGATATAAACCTGTGCAAGGCTGGAGGGCACAACAGCCAAAATATTGTGGTAACAACAATAGTCTGAAGATAAATAGTGTAAATAGTATATTTATTCAACAATAGTCTGAATATAAATAGTGTAAATAGTATCTTTATTTTCTTTAATTTAACATGACATATAAATAATACTATGGAAGATATAAACTCAAAAGAGTAACAAGATTTTGCACAGTAATGAGAACACAATGTTGGAAATTGGGTGGGAAGAGAGTAGTTAACCAGAAATCACAGAACAACATGTATACATATATATGTACATAGCAATATTTTCTTGTTAAGGCACGACTGGGATTAATCTTGTACAAAGCAAGGTGGATCCTGCTTGACAGAGGATAAGTCATAATAATTTTAGGCAAGATTTTTCAAGGCCAGGTGCTCTTCCCGACTTCTAACCTAGACACTCACAATAGTTAAAGTACACCAAAAGTTTGTATTGAGACACTATCTCTAGGAAGGTTGCCATTTAAGGCTTGAAATCCTATCCTAGTCTTTGCATATGTATGTTAGCCATTGGCTTCTATAATAAGCTCATTTGACAGGTCTTGTTTTTTCTCCTGTGCGGTGACATACCACCAAAATGGAAATTAAAAACAGTGACAAGACAAAAAAAAAAAAAAAAAAAAATAGTGACAAGAAAAAAGATAAAAACTGGCTATCAGAAGTAAAAAAAAAAAAAAAAAAAAAAATGAAATAAAATTAACCAGCAAAAAATATTTGAACATACTGATGCTGTAAATGCAAAGAGAGAGAAAAGATGTAAGATATTAAGAAAACTGGTTGGAGACATGAAAGCAACCAAACCACCACCTTTAAAAGAGGAATGTCTAAGTTGAGCAAAAAAAGTACATGGAAACTGATAACAGTAATTTTTTTTAGTGATGACTGTATTGCTATATTAGATAGACCTGATGCCTGGGTGGAATAGTCAATAGAACTTAGAAAACAATGGGGTGCGAAATAAATTAATGTTTTAGGTTAGTATTATAGGCAATAAAATTACATAAGTCTCTTAAAAGTTGATGATGGTGCCAAGATAAATGCAGAGAATTATTTTAAATTCCTCAACAAAATGGTCTTTGGTTTTGTTGGTTATTTTTATGTCAACATTTGTTGGTTATTTAATGCTAATTTTTTCATCCAGAATTAAATAGAAAAGTTTTCATAGGACAATAAATAATAATGAATTAATACTTTTAATGTTAACCATTCTATATTATTTACCATCAAGAAGATATCCATAATTTTTTTTTAATGTTGTATATAATTTAAAAAAAGTAGAAATTAAAAAGTAGAATTTAAATATAAGGAACATTTATAAAATTTAAGAATTAGCTTCAACTGCTGGAAATGGCAACTATTTCTTTGCTAACTAGGAGAAGATAACTTTTACTATAAAAATTTCCGCTGTCAAAACAAGAGAGAAACAGTCAGGTTGCGTGTAGGTTTGACCACCAAGCAAAGTCATTTAAACTTGTGAAGAATGATTTTAAAGGATTATTAGCTCTTTTGAAAAAAGTTTCCATTGAATTATTTTATGGTGTGTAATATCATATACAAATTTTTCAAGTTTGTGAGGATTTTATATTTTTTTTTGGACAATCCAATAAAGTATTTTTTTTACTAAATATTTATGCTCACAGTTCTTAATTTTGTTCTTTACCAATAAATTTAAATATAAAAAATATATGAATGTACTGTTAAATTATTTATCAAAATATCTGTATATTTTCTCTCACTGATTATCTACAAGCATTTTTCAAATTCCTTGTGATAGTGAAAATTTTGTAGGTATGTGTTTATGAAGATTTCAAATACATATTTTTCAAATGTAAATAATAAGATAATTTTTCTGCATTATAAAAAGCCATCATATATTTTAATGAAGTTGAGAAAAAACAAAAAAAAACCTCCTCATTTCAGTCAAAAAGCCAGAAAAATCATTCTGAACAGCTCTACTTTTAATAAAAGATAATTGAATTGGTGCCTATTCATTTTTTTTTCTTTCTATTTGAGCATTCCTGAACTCTTACAAGTATTTGCAATACAAAAACTACTGATTGAAAGTCAGGTAAAAAAGCACTGTTGAATTATATTATTATGTTAGCATAATTCACCATAATGACAGAAACCAAAAATTAGTCTCTCAAGATAATCTTTAATTATTTCTTCACACAATAATAATTTTCAGTAATTGTAATTAAATAAAAACACAAAAACAAGGAACTGAAAACTAAGATAAAAAAAATAATTATAATAGACATAAATAATAATTGTAAGTAAACTATTACCTTTCTTAGCGACATTTTCTTTACGGACCTTTCTGAGTTTACTAAGAACTTTAATGAGTTCTAACATTTTGGAAACATCTGATTTCTTCTTTCTAACTTCACTGAGCACTGAATCTACACAGATTTTCATTTCTTTATCCTAAAAAGAAAAGAAGTTGTTTATATTAAGGACCTTCAAAACATTGATAAGCATTAGAGAACTTGGAATTTTACAAACTGTTCATAACAAACACACACACAAATAGCAAAAAGTAAACAATATTTTTCTTGATTAATTTGTGCATAAAAATAAGTAATCTAAAAATATTCTGAATAATATAAAATTTGATTTTATACATCCAAAAACCAATTACTATTAGTAGTAGTAGTACCACCACCACTATTTACACAAATTCTAAAGTGAAAATTATATTCCCAAGTTCTGATTTTCTTCTATTGTTATATAAAAATGTTATACTATAATTGCCAACAAATAAGATGAATATTTAAAAAAAAAATAAAAAAATAAAAACGACTATGCAAACATTCAATAGCATACAATATGCTGGTATTTTAACCAGGCTGTCTACCAAAACTCAAATGCAAGGCTTTCATGCAAGGAGTCTCTCAAATACCCTTGTTAGCCATTGTATCTTAGAATTGCAAAAGAATTTACTTAATAAGAATCAGACTTCTATATTTTAAACAAATATTGATTGAATTTAAAATATTAGCTGAAAAAGGTGCCTTTCCATAGAGTTGTGATTAATATGATCATTACTGCTGTAATGAATCCAATCTTGGACCTTCGTGTTTGCAACAAAAAGCAGTGTCAAAAGTACAATTTTTCCCTTGAAACCACTATTATTTTAACTACCTTCACTCTTCAGCAATATTTATTGTTTTAAAAAGCAATTATTAGAATTGTAATAAATCCTAAACATATGATGAAAGTGAATTTATACGTTTTTCTTGTACTTGAGAATTTATAACAAAAATATTAAACACTATTTATTTGCTTGTTTATTCACAAGAATAATTTTACATTTACAACATTCTAAAAATTAATATAATTAAAACTAATGCAATGCAATATTTATCAATTTATAAAGAAATAAATATGGAAGCAATTTTTTATTCATAAATTTATAAGCATTTACTAAATTATTAAAATATGTGAACCAACTATAAGGAAATCATTATTTACCATCTTAGAAAAGTTTGAACCAGTTGGCAATTAGTTGATGTTTCGACAACCATTTCAATAAATGATCTAATAAATAGTGTAAATAAACAACCTAATAGTGTTTATTTTAATACTCAAGAACAAAGAAAATGTATAACTTCACTTTCATATGTTTAGGTTTTATTACAATTCTAATAATCACTTTTTAAAACAATAAGCATTGGTAGTGGAGATAGTTAAAATAATAGCAGTGTCAAGGCAAGAAGATCCAAGTTTGCTCCAAACTTCACTTAGTACCTTGCATTTATAGTCTTCATAAGTAGCAATTTATCTTGTGCTTTACTAAGCCAAATAAATACCAAAATGATGAGGGTAAAGTTTGCTTAGTCATCTTACAGATGATCTGGAGTGGGTATAAGAAGAACTTGATGAACAGAAAATTATTCTTAAAGGGAAACAAAAATGATGTTGATGTTAGGTTGACAAAGAATATTTTGTGAAAAGTGCAAAACCAAAATATTACAAGTGCAAGGTTAACAACATGTGCAGCACAGACAAAAAAAATAAAACATGATTTCTTCATTAAAAAAAAAAAAAAAAAAAAAAATAGTATTGACAGATTGCAAGTTGGATAAGATTTTGCTTACACAATCTAAGGAGCAAGCATTTTTTTTTAAATCCCTACTTTTAATATAAAAATGGTTAAAGAACACATTGAAAAAAGAAAGATTACAAACCAGAAGAAAGGCATTCAGTGAATATTATTATGAAACATTTCTTAGCAACTATTATTAACTTTTTAATATTATTTCTTTCATCTTATTTCTATTGCTACAGATGTGATGCATGATGAAATAAATAATAATAAAAAATTACTACCAATTGACAATATTTCATCTGAAGAAATTTCAAATAATAATGATACAGATATTACTACCACAGACAGTAGTAGCATGTCAGTCTTTAGGGAAATTAACAAATAAAGACAAGATTTTAATTGTGGCAACTGGTTGACCTTCACAGTCTAATAATAAGGCAAACTGCCTGATGATAATTGCTGCACATTCGTCTTGCTTGAGGATTTTTGTTTTTTACTAATAATCCATGTTATTTATCCATACTTATGGAATGATAACTGTGATTGAAAGTAGATATCCTAAACTAAAATTTTATTTTCATTATATATAAAAAAATTTCAATGCAGACAGAGATATTAACAAAGCATAAAAAAAAAATGGTAGCAAATTTATTTTTGTAACTTAATTAGCAACCAAGTCATGACCATTCAAATTTTGTCAGAACTTTTGTCTCATGTATTATTGGGACAGAAGCCAATTTTAACAGTGTATAAGTCAAGATGCAAGTGAAAAATCATTATAAATGATTACAAAATGTAATGTCATTTAGACAGTTTTGAAGTAAAAGAAAGTTACTACTAATGGAATCATTAAATATTACATCTGACCAGCATAAACATTGAGAAAAAGTGTGTTCTCAAAAATGAAATAGTTAAAACATAACACAGAAGGGCAATTTTGACTGTTCATACAAGTTTCATTTCAATAGTTAATACCTTGCAGTTTCTTGTTATGATTGATAGCAGAACAGAGATGAAACTAAAAAAATTTTCAGTACTACAGCAATAAAAATTTCATAAAAAATGCCACAAGCATAATTTGACAGTAGGGCAAAAACAGGTCAACAGTATTCCATCATGATTTTACCAAAAAAATGTATCCATGAGAGGTACATGCCTGAAACTTTGGAACTTCAATAAAAGAGCTCTTTTCACCTTTTCTCATACATGTATCTAATTTTTTAAATTTCTGTGAAATTATGCAATTCTTGACTTGTCCCAAAAAGGACAGTAATGACTACAAAACTTAGAAATTTGTTTGATGAAATGAATCATTAATCAATCCTTTAAACATATGCTTATTGTAAAGCTTTATGCACATTTATTTTTTAACTACAAAACTGAAATGAATAAAAATGCATTTATTGGAACTAATAAAAAAGGCTTTCTTCTAATGGTGATTTGCAATTTGAATTTGTTTATAAGCCTCTGCTATAGCAAATAATTCTGGGAGATTCCATATTCTATCATCACTTGAAAGTGATATTATATCAAAGCCTCATCTAAAAACAAATGTTAATGTCATTTATACAATATCATCCAATGAAGACCATCAAAAATAAACAATTCTGCTTTACAAGGTTAAATTTTCATTTTTATAAGAGTTAAATTTCTCTGATATTTCATCCACTAAAGTTTTTAACTTTGAGATTTTTTGCAAAAGACAAGTTTAAACCATAAGCCCACCAAATTGATGAGTATCTTTTTTTATTTAAGATGGGACTATTTTGATATATGTATGGAGACACAACTTTGAATGAAATAAGTTTGAAAAAAAAAAACAAAAAAACACTGAAATTGCCTGCTTTGAAAATGTGAATATGAAGTCATCTTCGTTGAAATAGAGACACAATTTAAAAAGATGTGAAATAAAAACTCATCATCACACATAAGAAAGAATTTTATTTTTATAAAGAGAAAAGATTAAATTTTGTTTACATACTAATTTTATCAAAATAGTTGAAATGAAAAGTAATTTCACTATTTTGACCCATTTTCTCAGTGTAAGCTAATGAGGTTTGGGACATCTCCTAAAATTAACAAAAATAAGATAAAAGAAATATGAACAAATTATAATTTTATTCAATAAAGTCCAGATACTTTCTCAAACACCTACCAATCTTCTCAGCATGTTTACTTTCAACAATATGTTCTTCATTAAGTTTATCCATTCACTTATAAGTCAGTTTATTTTCTAAACTTCTATGTTATGCAACTGTTTCAATAGTTAAATAATGTGCTACTAAGATGATGATGATGATTGATATTGCACTTACATTTTTGTACATTGTAATTGACAAGAAACAAGCTGGAAGAAAGTTCCATAAGCAAAGAGTACAAGAGAAGAGGCTATTAGAACAGTTACATCTAACAATTTCAAAAGAAAATAATGAAACTTAGCTGCCAATCCATTCTTCTTCTGTATTGTGTCTCTTCGGGACATAAATCTCCACAATTTCCTATCTTAGGCTTAAATTTATGAAGTTGAGATACCAAAGACAAAAGCTTATCAGAACAATTGCCATGGAAATATTTATAAAAAAGGCAGGGGAAAGCTATGTTATGTGATAAGATGATTTACTTTTAGTGATATAAATATTTCCCTTTTTTCTTAAGCTACATCCATAAAAATATAAATGCTAGACAGTACAAGAAATAATGTATTACTACTTCCCCACCCACCCACCACCAAATATCTCAAAATATATCCCCTAAATTTTAGATGTGAAGTTGAGGTATACACTTAAAATTGTTTCTTAATATTCCCTTCTGTCATAGTTTGGTCATATTTGACATCAGATAGGGCTGAATTCAAATGACCAAACTAGAAGAGCGGACCAGTATTCCAATAGATAATCTGATGGAGATGTTGACTTTCTGTACACAAACAACACACTTCAGAATGGGACCACACATATATCGACAGGATGAGGGCTTAGCAATGGGCTCGCCATTATCACCAGCAATGGCGAATATATACATGGAATACTTTGAAGAAATGGCATTAGAATCTATATCTCTAAAGCCAACTTTATGGTTAAGGTATGTGGATGACACCTTCATACTCTGGCCACACCAGGAAGATGTTCAGGTTCTACTGGACCATGTGAACTCAATAAGACCTTTGATACAGTTCACAATGGAGAAAGAGAATAACAACACACTCCCATTCCTGGATGTTCTAATATCTCGAACAGAGCATGGGTTCAAGACGTCCGTATACCGTAAACCAACAGTCACCGGACAGTACCTCAATTTCAACTCCCACCATCCATACAGCGTAAAGAAAGGGATCGTCCGTTGCTTACAACACCGAGCAAAAGTCATAAGTGGCGACCCAGAGACGCTAGATAAGGAATTGGTCAGTATAAGTAGTACCCTACAACGTAACAACTACCCTGGGTACATGGCAGCAGCCCCCAAAAACTGGGATAGGTGGGTACAAGAGGAGGAGGAGGAGGACAACAACACTCAGAAAACAGTCTGCCTGCCTTATGTGAAGGGGTTATCAGAGAAAATACAAAGGATCTGCGGTCCATATAACACCAGGACAACCTTCAAAAGCTTGACAACACTTTGCAGATATCTCTCTCGAGTGAGACCCCCAGCAGAGGAGAACATGACTAAAGACTGTGTTTACGCTATCCCGTGCAGCTGCGGAAAGGAATATAAAGGAGAGACAGGCCGCCCCCCAAGGTAAGGCTTCAAGAACACCAGAAAGCTGTAAGTGAAAGTGAGAGGGAAAGTAGAAAAATCAGGCGTGGCTGACCACATATGGAGAGAGAAGGGAGATCACCGTCCCCTGTGGGATCATGTTGAGATCATAGACAGGGAACACCACTGGAAAATTCATAAACTTAAGGAATCAGCACATATGCTAGGCCACAAAAATCTCCTGAGCCGACCAAGCATAGAAATAAATACAATATGGGAACCAGTAATAAGGAGTGCCAGAGAAAAGCAATAATAACAAAAGTTGCAATATGAGCTCTGGTAAAAACATGTAAGGATAACAGCAAAATTGCAATATGAGCACTGGTAAAAATGGTTGCTGAAAACATTAGGTTTATCATACTCAGATGTCCTCAAGGACACATGGCACAGTGGATAAAGGCGTTGGTTAGATCCAGTGACAGACCCAAAAGAGTGTGAGTTCAATACCTGGTTAAGGCAGTGAAGAATTTTCAGAGGGAAAATTAGGAGATAACTGATAACTGACATCCATCAAACATGGCACGTGTAACTAGAACATTCTACCCCAGTGATCGAAATAAAGGGTTCAGTTTGAAATTCCAACCACCTGAAGAAGGCCGGAGCGTACAACGGCCGAAACGTTGTGATAAATATGGCGACAAAGATGAGGACAATAGTCCGAATAATGTAAATACTGTACGTAATACCTTATCTCAGAAATATAGACAGACTCTAAATAACTTTTATTCTTTATTGCATTTTTTGTTACACCAAATTTGAAATAACTGAAAATAGTACCTCCACCCAAGGAGAGAATATTTTTAACTTTAATTTTAAGTAATAAAAAAATGACTTCCCTATCACAGAGATTTCTAGATGTTAGAAATCTATGTCATATTTGTTATGTCATAATAGAAAAATATCTTTTCAGCATCTCTCAGAACAAAAAAGTTGCTCCATAGAGATCTTATCAGCCAATCCAGGATAATGAATACCATTATCACCATTAAGGAATTCTTTTGAATGAATCTCTGATTTATTACCAGAATTTGAAATTTCTCATATCTTGTCACTCACTCTCAAATGATTAAGCTAAATATTGCTCTTGATTGCAAATTGGCAAAAACAAAATGTTCTCCATAACAATAAAATTTGCTTCTTTTTTAAATAACTTATTAGCATCAAGTAATATGATTGGAAAATCTAGCCATGATCACTAATTTGCTAAAATTCATAGGACAGATTTGTCAGAGATAAACAAACTTATCTCTTTTGTTTAGCTTAATAATAATAGCAATCACAAACTAAGGCACTTCAAATGAAATGGTTGTAAATACAATGCTCTAAACACAAAGTCAAATTGATGAGATAATTTGAATATATAGAAAGATTGAAAAGAATACAAACCTTTTTAAGTTGGATTTCCTTTTGGGAAATGGCATTTAGCCATTCATCTATCTGAGAGTGCAGCTCATTTCTCCGAGCCAAAGCCTCTTGTTTCTCTTGGTAGCGTCTTGATTGGGAACGTTTCAACCTCTCCTGGAATTTGGGTAGAACATTCAGTTTCAAAGCAAAAATTCAAAGATATTAAACAATTACAAAAACAACAGCATTTTTATTCAAAAAGGTGAATTTAAATAACATTTCATTTTGTAAGATCATGGACACAAAAAAGGTTTTCATTTCAAACTGTTTGAAGCAAAAAATGAATATAAAAAAAAAAGCCTGATCCAAGTGAGGATCTTGAAATATACAGTTTCTTATGTGTAATCAGATGAGATTTTAGATGTTATAAGAAATAATGTTTGATTATCTACTCTTAATACTTTCATAATTTAATTTATTGTATTTCTCAACATTGAAGAAGGATCCAAATTTTGAGGAGAAAAAAAAAATAAACAAATTTAAGAAAAAAAATAAAAGAAAAGTAACCTTTGCACTGTAGGAGAAATTTTCAAGATTTATTTCAGACCTCCCCCACTAAGAAAACTTTGGCACAGAGTAATATAGTAATTTGCAAATATCAATTTAAATCAATTTAACCTTTCAGATTAATAGACTTATTCACAAATAATACACTTCTTAGTGAACCAAAAATAGTATGGATGAGTGCTTCAGTAACAAAAAATAAAAGTATCTATTTGGTAATAGAAAATAGAAAACCACTGATGCAATATGCAAAGGAATTACATAAGGTAGAATGCTGAAAAGTTTTCAGCCTGACTAAGAAAAGATTCTAAAAGAAATTCTGATGTTTGCTTATTTAGTCAGATTTTTGGAAGTAGAGTGAACTGAAAACTTTTCAGTACCCACCTCATAGAGAGCTTGGAAAAATAAACATTATCACCAGCTTCCTAGATGAAAAAAAAAATCTTTTCAAATGCTTGGAGAAACCATATTAAAAAATTATAATAAATTATGAAAACAATTCAGTAAGTTTGCATTAATGTAGGTCTCCCCTAGGACTCTATCCTTGTACCTATGTTGTTCCTGATTTTCATCAACGACCTTCTTGATTGCATCAGTTTGGTATCTATGATGATGACACAACTATTTACTCCTGTCATAATTGTAAGTCTGATCCATTTGATAAGGTCAAACTGGTAGCTGAACTCAAGAATGACATATATTCTGTTGTTAACTGGGATAGGGAATGGCTTGTTAACTTTAAAGCCTTCAAAACAAAACTCCTTTTTAATTGTCTGAAAGAGCCCTTTCTGCTTTCCATACAAGCCTCCAGGAGAATGAAAGATTGCACCTTCTCAGGCTAATATTTACTGCTAAAAAGAAGTGGAAAGATTATATTGAATCAATTGGTAGGTCTGCTGATAGGAAACTTCATTCACTGTGCTGTGCTGGACATTTTTTCTTGTTTGAATCTTATATATTTATAAGTCCACCATTCATCCAGGTTATGAATATTGCTGCCACATGCTATGGTGCTCCTGTTATATATTTAGAGATCTTTGAGCAAATCCAAAGAAGAATCTGCAATGTCAATGGTCCTAACCTGTCATATCTACTTCAGTCACTTTCTCACTAATGTAATGTAGCTTCCCTGTGCCTTTTCTATAAATACTTTCATGATAATTGTTCTGAGGAACTGTTCTCTATGGAACCTAGGCTATAAATTTAAGTGCAATTCTAGATTAGCAGCAAGATCTCATTTTACAGTTGAAATGGTTAGATGTAACCATAAATCCTATGCTAACAGTTTCTTTTCTCACACTTCTCACTTGTGGAACTCTCTTCTGGCTTTTTGATTTCCAGTCAAGGTTGATCATCAAAAATTTAAATGCAATATCAATCATTGTATCATGTCTTCTTAATTTCTGTTTTTTGTTGTTCTCGTTCCTTAATGTTTTTTTTATATTCTTTCACACTTGGTAATCCCCCAGTGTCTTAGTAGCTTTGTTGCCTTTTTAAATGCAACATGACTGCATAGTTCATTTATTAAAAGTCAAAATTATTTTTGTTTATATTATTAATCATACTTCCTGGGGTCAAAGACATTATTCCCCACCCACAAATAAATCTTTAAAATTTACTCTGCACCCTACAGATCAAAAGATATTATTTTAATTAATTCAATTTTTTTCTCTCAAAATTTTGTATGACAAAATAGTGGAACTTCCTTGATTATAGAACATTTGGTAAATCTTTTGAATGGAGAAAAAATATAGCACAAAATCTGCAAATTTCTTTCAATATAATAATCAATTCTGTAATAGGTTCCAAACCATCAAAAATAAATTAAGGCTGTCCAAATTGATGGCAAGTTATTTGAGGGCAATGATAAAATAAATGACAGAAAATTGTCCGAATATCATGAAAGGATTAATCTACATATTGCTTAAATGTAAAAAGTAGCAAAAATGTGTTATCAGTGTAGACCAGTCAGTGAAAATGCCCCCCTCCCACTACATAAATGTCTCATTTCAGCAAGTTGGTTGAACTTATGAAAATGACATTAAATAACTACACACAGAAATATTTATTGCCTAAGCTGAAATGTTTTTGTTAAAACTCCATATCATCATATTTTATTATGCAAGTCAAAGTTTTCACAATAAAATTGGTATTAACCAATTAATGTTGCTAAATTTTTCAGGTTATACCTATCTTCATATTGTGAAACTAGTAGTATGAATTTAGGATTAAAAGGGTTCATGTAAAAACCCAATATAAGAATTGGAAGAGTTAAAAATGTTAAAAAAAAGTAAAAACATGAATTGAAATAAAGAGCAAGGAAAAAAAGAGAAATGTTTTTTTTCTTCCTTTCTGATAACCAGAAATGCCAAATAGAATGTTGAGTCCAAAACATGGTTTGAGAAATGTAAAATATAAACTGAAAGGTAAATGGAATTATTATGATTTGCGAAACCAATAATGTAAACATTCTGACATATGTGAAATGTAAAATGTAACTGTCAGCCAAAAAGCAAATTGAGTTGTTATAAATTGCAAAGCCAATAATGTAAACTATCTGGAATGTCGTTTTGTAAAATGGACAGAAAATTATTTTGGTTGTATTGGTAAATCAACAACAAAGTAAATTCTTTGATGTCAAGGACATAGGAAAATTTTATAAACACAAGTTGTTGAAAAATTATTTTTTTGGATAAGTGGTCGAATGTGAGCCAATTGGTGTCAGAACATGGACAGGAATGATAAACAAAGTTTGTTGTTGAAGAATGTATTGTTTTGAATAAGTGAATACTTTGTTTGAAGATCAGTACTGGTTCTCCAAAATTGGGGAGATAAAATAATTAATTGATATGAATATTGATGAGTCCTGAGGTGTGGTGGGAGTTGGGTGAAATACATATAAACAGAGCACTTAAGCAACCCTAGCAGTTGGAGCGAGAACTGAGATGAGTCAGCAGCTCCCTCATTCGCTGCTGAACTCAATGTGACCTACTGCTGACAGAATTCCCGACTGACCACTTTGTGATATTGTTTTAAAAGAAAAAGATAAAGTGTCACAATAGAGAGTTTAACAGGAAGGGTTAATTTTGTTGTGCCAACGACTATATAAATCAATTGAAAATTAACTCAGCAACCTTCTTCATTATTTTGTTATGATATTTGTATTTTCACCAGTGGAAGACTTCTTTGTCCTTTTGTAGCACAGTTCAACTTTGGTTCATTTCAGCTCTCAAGTATAGATGAAATTTGGTCTTCACTGCTCTGTGATCAAGAAACACAATGTGAAGCAGAGCAGATGAAGGAACGAAGCAGCCAGCAGATGAAGGAACGAAGCAGCCAGCAGATAACCAGCAGTTGACCAGTGACAAGCTGGGCCAACCATGTTATAATATGATAAATGTACCAACTGAGTTTCAGCTTATAATATCCGTTTTATATTAGAGGTATTTATAATAGCATTTAGTGATGCAAGATTTTATTGCTTTTATTATTTTATTCCACCACAGCTTGTTTCAGCACTCAAGTATGGATGAAATTTGGTCTTCACTGCTCTGTGACCAAGGAACATAATGTGAAGCAGGGCAGATGAAGGAATGAAGCAGCTAGGAGATAACCATATAACAGTATATATATATATATATATATATATATATAATTACTTATATATAAGATTGCTATGAGTTGTGATAACAATATAATCTTAAAATAAACACAATAGGGGACACAATATTGAAAATTGCTAAAAAAAAAAAAAAAAAAAAATTAAAAAGTTATAGAATTAAAAAAAAAAAAAAAAAAATTGAAAATATTGGCAAGAAAAGAAAAAAACTGATTTCTCAACAGTGATTTTTAGTGAAGAATATAGAGCTATAATGGATGGATCTGGTGATGAACAGGTTGGTATTTCATGGAAACTGTCAACCAACACTAAAAAATAACAGGAAGTAAATGGAGCAATGTTTTGGGCCAGTATTATAGGCAATAAAATTATAGGTCCCTGCAAAGTTGATGATGATGCTAAGATAAATGCAAAGTTCTCGGACAAAATGTTTTCTGATTGTTACGACCAAGAGGCTTTAAAGCTCATGAGTATATTCATGTAAAACTATTTGCGTTTTGTATTCTGCAAAGATCACTATTGCCCATTTTGCCAAAAAGTTTCAAAAGATACCAAATTGATGAAATGGCTTCCAACCTCTCCAGATATTAGTAAACTTATTGTTCATTATTATAAAAGATGTATATAAGAATGGAAAACAATTTTTAAGCAAAGACGATTTCCGAAAAGCAATAATAACTGCTGCAAGTCTTGTTAAAATAAAATAGTAGAAAAGTTCAAATTAATAAATGAAGGTTATAGAAAATCATAGAGTATATTAACATGTAAAATAATAAAATTTATTCAGGTATATGGGAAATATTGTGTTAGAAAAATGTTTCTGCAGCTTATAGCTTCTTATTTAAAAATAAAAACTGTTTGCATAACCTGGCATCTCCAAAACAATTTATCAACATTTTTAATAAGGATAGATATTATAAGCTCAATATTAAATATATATTATTATTATTATTATTGTTGTTAAATACTCAAGTAGTATATTGCTTATATAAATATATCCCCAAAGTATAACAATATCAGTTAATACAAATTTTATTGTGAAAACATTGACAAGTATCATAAATTTACATTAGTTACACTCAGGTCATTATCCTCATCTTTATTGTTGTTATAATGTTGTTATAATGTTTCAGCTTTTATGAGCTCCAGCCTTTATCAGGAGCTTGTTAATCCATGTAACTTCTAGAGAATTTCAAACGTAATTTTCTGTATTTAATCCACAGGAGTAGATTGTAGACATTTAGCTGTCTATATCTAAGGATATCTCACCTCATTCTCATTTAATCTATTTAGTTATTACTTGTCATGTTTTCACTGCTCTACCCAGCCCAGGGATTGAACTCACAAAAGCTATTGTTATTAAGTTTGGAGCCATAAACCTACACTGACTACTGTTGGTATTGCTGAAGTCATGCTGCCACATCACTTTATTCATTAATGGCTCTCATATTGTATGCTATTTCTATGCTAGGCCTACTAAAGAGGTTCTCATAGACAAAAATTGTATCATAGGACTGGTGAAAAACAACTGAACCACACAATAATAAAAACTTAGGCACTACTGAGAGAGAAAATGATCTGCTCATAAAAAACAGGGAAAATTTTTTTAAACTAATTTTTGTTGATTAGCATTCATTAGATATTCCTCTACCCACAGCAGAATAGAAAAAATATTGATTTATTATCATTTTAGAAGGGTGGGATTCCTGTTCATGATATAAATACAATATTAAATCAATCCCTGATTTTCTTTTTAAAATGTTATTTTATTTTTTTTTATTGACAAATGTAAAATTTGAAACTGGGCCTACCTCATTGATAACTCTCTATTACTGATGTATATTTTTTCTAATTTTTTAAATAAACTTTTGAATAAGTTTTTGCATAACAGATTTATGTATTTTCCATTTTCATTTTGGAAGCACTTACATTAGCACTTGCATAAACGAAGGGAGATAATGAATATTTATCTTAAAATGAATCCTACCATTAAGGATTTTCCTCCTCCAATTCTTAATAAATTTGTTATAACAAAACTTTTTATTTTACCTTGAATACATGTGAAAAGTTATAAAAGTTAGGGTGTAAAATATAGTTCAGCCATAAGGCTCAAAATACTGAAGACATCATTGTTGAGTAATGCCATGTTGCGTACATCAAATGAATTCTTTCACATAGGAAGGTAACATAGCAAATGCACCCCATACATTTTTTTAAAAATTTTTGTTGAACAGATTTAACTTAAATGAATTAAATCAATATTTTTTATTCTGATAAATGCTGGGCTTAGAGGAAGGTCAAATGAATGCTAATTAACAAAGATTAATCCCCCCCCACCAAAATTTTTCCTCTCAGTAGTGCCAAAACCTTATTCAAAATGTCTCAATCTAACTTTAATATTTTTCTTTTGATTTGAACCTTAAAAATGTTGCAAAAAAATGTATCTCCGCAATGCAATCATGGTTTAATAATAATTAAACCATTTTGTGCAAATATAAAAATATGAATGATTTTTTTTACAGATGTTTTAAATATCAGGATCAAGTTCAAAAACACGAACAAAACAACTTTTCAAATTATCTCAACTACTTTCTGTTTTGAAGGAAAAAAGAAAATGTTCATATCATATGAGGATGGGCTGAAAAGTTCATGGGCTAACTATAAAAATTTCAGCCCATCCACGGACACTAACAAAAGAAAACTGGAATTAATGGAAAATTTCATGATGGCAGACACATTGAAAACATTTTATGATAAACAAGATATTCGAAATGTTTTGTCTGCTAACCAACAAATATGAATATAAAACTAAGTTGGAAAATGTTAATCTAAAAAGGTTTCCATTCTGAAGATAGATGAGGTCATTGGTACAAAGTGAATGTAAATTTCCCCAGGTCTGAACTTTTGTCTGTCAATTCTATTCTATACTGTATGGCCACCTACACCTTTGAAGGTAAATACTGATTATCATAAATTTTAAATTAAAAACTTTCACTGGCATAGTAACAAGATTATTCATTTTTTTTAAATATATATTTTGCAGGTACATATTACCAATTTATAAAAAGCACACAAACACATTTAACCAAGTAAGCTTCTTACAGAATTACAAATACTACTCATCATGAGTTGCATAAACATACAATCAGGACCTTCAGTTTTCCATTGACTAGATAGATCCACTCTATGACATGTTTTATTTCAAAATTTATCCTAAATATTATTGTGATACAAACTATAACAAAACATGACCAATACTTATATGAAGAACAAAATTTAATACTTTAAGGACTTTAACATTGTTATTGTAATAGAGGAAATCTATATGATAATGATCCAGTTACTGTATCCTTATGTTTTTATTCCCATAACACAGCCAAAATGGCACAGTTATTCTTAGATCATTTTAATGGCATCATGCTAACTTGAAAAATAAAGCAATTTCCAGTTCAATCAGACTACAAGTATTCTAATATTTTTTAATTAACCAAGTATTATTGACAATGAATGCCCAAGGAAGATAATTCCAGTTTTATTAACTGCTAATTACAGTCATTTCCCTTATTTATAAAGGAATAAGGAGGAAAGAATCCTTGAAGCATAGTGATAATTAGCATCTACAAATAATTTTATAAATAGGAAGTGACTTGATCTTGTGTGGAGGCTGCTGAAGGCAGCATTTAAGCAAATACTATAAATTTGTACACTTGTTTATCTGTCAGCACAAAAAGGATATGCTCATAAAAAGGATATTCCAATTTCACACAGCAGTTATTTGGGCTGTTTTTGTGTGTGTTTATAATAAAAAGGATATTTAGCCCTGTTATTGGCAAACAATGAAGTAGCAAGAAGTGTTAGATCGATGAGAAGAGGACAGATAGGAGCCTGTGGTAGACATGACACCTCTTGGAAGTATGGTCCATACATACTGCAACCAAATAGGAACCTGATTAAATGTGAGTATTCAAAGAAATCAAATAATAAGGAGAGAAAGACAGTAAAAGAAAAACAAAAATGGAAAGCTTAAGTGAAGAGAATAGAAGAAAGAATAAAAAACAGTTATAAAAAAAAAAAAGAAAAGGAAAGCAATAGAAGAGGTATTAGAATAGTGAGAAAGAAGGAAAAGATTTTTTTCTTTTTAGATGGAGAGAAATAAAAAGAAAGGAAGAAAAAAGATAAAAATTAAATCCACATTGATCCTTTGTGTTGTACATTTACACATTAAAAAAAAAAAAATTAGCAGCATTAAGTCCCAAAATCAATTCTTACAACCTAAAACTATTTTAACACCACCAGAATTTTCTTTAGACTTGAGAAAGTAGAATAAAATCATTTTAAAAAAAGCAAATATTTGACATGAATAAAAAATAAAAAAATTTCAAGATAAAAACAATGAAGAACAATGAAGATAAAAGAAACAAAAATATGGTCATGATTATAACTCAAAAACGTGCATTCTGGGAATTGGACCCGTGCTTTGTATAAACATTTACAACCAACCATTCATAGATTTCTATAAAAAATAATATGAAAAAGTCTTCCTTGTTTAATAATTCATTTTCTTGCCCTTTCCTATCTTGGTTCTGGAATCAAGTTGACATGATAGGAAATCAAGTTAAATACTATTAAAGTGTAGCATAAAAAACATGAAAATTTGCTGCACGTTACCAATATATACATCAGAAACAGATATTCTGGTTATGAAAGTCACATTTTATGTGACAATTAAATCTTAAGACATCATCCCAAGACATTTTGGGCAAATTTCACTATTTCAGAAGTGCCTGTGTAACAAAATCAATCTGCAGCAAATGATTTATATAAAGTTGTTTGTAGGAAAGAGAACAGCCATATTCTACTTACATGTTTGGCTGTGTAATTCTTTTTAATGATTAGACATCAGAGCATTGTACAAGCAAGTGGTGAAAAATGCTCAGCACAAACCACTTCCAAAAAATAAATACTTCATTGACTGTCACTGAAGTACTGATTTTTTGGGGGAATTAGATTAGACCAAGAACATTTCAGAACCTCTTTATACTGGTAAACTGGAATAACTGTGAATTTAAAAGTTAAAAATAATTACAGTGTAACATGAACATAAAAATTAACTGCATTTGCGTGTATACATTTCTGAATGGATTTTTTTTTATCCAACATTTCTTATTATTATAAACATTTTTGTGAGTACATGTATTTTAGTTGTTATCCACAGTTTTTATTTTCTTAAACAGTGAAATTAATAAGAAACCAACTTGAAATTGAGACATCTTGCTAAAGAAAGATTGTGCCTCCGATAAGAATCAAACCTGTATCCTCTTTTTCATCAGGGAAACTGCTTCTATAGCCAAAAAATGTTGCATTGATAGCACCAGGTTTGATTTATCTAATCAAGGAATGCACATCTCTTGTTGGAACTTCTATGAATCTATATGTACATTCGTTATCTTCAGTTTCATACTTCATAATCTAGGCCAGCTTTCTGGTAGAATTTCTACAACCATCTTGTAAAGTCTAATGTGATATAAAGGAATGAAGATTACTTCTGAGAAATGGAAAACAACCATAAATGATTCAATCAAAATACTTTTGTTCAATGATCAGGAAGGAGCACATGAAATCTGTAAATGATGACAATTCTCAGACAAAAAAAAAAAAAAAAAAAAAATCAAAGTATAATTAGTTACTACCATTTCAATAAGGTTATATAGGATACCTGCTGTAAAACAATAGTTAGCAAGCTAGCCTCTCAAAAGCTTTTGTTATAGAGTGTAATATTTATTAGATGTTCCATTCTTGTGCTTCTTTGCCAAATTAGAAGAAGTTTATATATGTGTTTGGTGATTATACATCTCTGGTATGATATAGTCAGAATTAAAAAAAAAAAAAAAAAAATTTTTTTTAAAGTTCCTGTTTCAAGTAAAAAATTTTGAAACACATCCAGCAGATTGATATCGAAAAACTTTCTATACCAGAATTTGATGAACCATTTAGATACTAATGCACATGTCATGTAATCATTTTTAACTTACCCTGTCTTTTTGCCTTTTTTTCACCTTCTTTTCTAACTGAGCCATGAGATCTTGATTGTCCACTTTGTGACGAAATTGTTCAAGTTGTTCCTAAAAAAAACAAACAAAACAAAAACAAAACAAATCAATAAACTATGAATAACAAAATTTGCAGCAGCTGTTTATCTGTTAAGAAACTTCCTGAAGCAGCAAATGTGGTCATTCATAATTGAACTATAATTTCAAAGAAATACTGTCAAGATGTGAACAAATAATGCAGAGTCCATGTGAAAACTTATAAATAATTCAACAACAGAATAAAAAAAAAATATTATTAATTTAAAAAAGAATACAAATTAATAATTTTTTGCTTGATAAAAATTACTAAACATAAAAAATAATTTATTCTTGTTTTGACTCTATCATATCTCCTGCCACAAAGTCATAACAAAATTTTGATGTAACAACAAAAGAGAGAAGAGTAGTACTATTTGATTTAGTTAATATATATATATTTAATCTAATGACTCATTATATTTGAGGGTTCAAACCAATGTTTTTGGACTTGATAGTCAAACCTTAATAAAGTACAGTAATATTACTTTGATAAAGAGAGAAAAACTAACCCTGGATAGACTTATGTCCACATAAGTTGTTTTTGTATTATAACAACAAAAACATTTCTAATCATATCATTGGTGTGCTGCTCTCCCACTTATTATAATAATAATAATAATAATAAGCGCAGCGTGGATTGATTGTCATAAAGACTTTGATAGTGCGCCACACTCTTGGATCCTTAAGACTTTGGAAATGTACAAAGTTTTCACTGTGGTAGTAAATTTCCTTAAGTGCAGCATGGTAATGTGGAACACCACACTGTACCTAAATCACACCAGAGGCACTGCCATCTCTAACCGTCTGATGTGGAATCTTTCAAGGAGACTCTCTCTCATCCCTTCTATTTTGTTTGTCCTTAATCCCCCTTATGCATAAACTAAACAACAGTAGTTATGGTTACAAACTAGACAAAAAAATATTCAAGTACAATCTACTCTACACGGATGATCTCAAACTCTTTGCCAAAAACGACAATGAGTTGAAGGATATCCTCAATATTGTAAAATGTTTCAGTGACAACATAGGCAAGGACTTCGGATTAGATAAATGTGCAAAAGTAACATTCAAGAAAGAGAGAATTATAGAAACACTCTCAATAGATTTAGACTTTGTCACAAAGATTAAGGAACTGGAGCAAGATGAAGCCTATAAGTACCTAGAAATTAGTGAAGGAGATGGTATACAACAAACCCAAATGAAGGAGAAGGTAAGAAGGTAACTGCTTCATGGCCAATACTCTGTCCGTACCAAACAAGCTGATGTAGACAAACGCTGTACCCATCAGTGGCTGCGTAGTGCGGGGTTGAAAGCTGAAACTGAAGGTTTTATCCTTGCTGCACAAGATCAGTGCTTGTTAACTAGAAATTATCAAGCACACATACTAAAATATTGTGTTAGCCCAAAATGCAGGTTCTGTGATAAATACCCAGAAACAACTGATCATTTTGTGTCAGGTTTCACAGTATTGGCACCTACTGAATATAAAACTGGGCATGACAGAGTTGGCCAATATTTGTACTGGAAAATCTGCAACTTCAGGAAACTGAAAGAAATTGGTATGAACACTACCCAGACCTGGTTACAGAGATAAGACATGTAACTTACTTTACAGGACTACACAATACACACAGACAACATTCAAAGCTAAACACCCAGACATTGTTATTAGAGACTGCAAACAGAAAAGTGCCTCTTTACTGATATGGCAGTCCCTGCGGACTGCAATGTATCTTTGAAGATCTTTAATAAGCTATCAAAATACAAGGACCTATAAGTCAAAATCTCAAAAATGTGGCACATGGGAACATCAACGATTCCTGTTGGAGCCCTTGGATTGGTTGGAAAAGATTCCAGTAGACGAATTGAAGGGATTCCTGGAAACCCATGCCTTAAAGAATTACAAAAAAGGTGTTCTCACAAGTACAGCCTACACCTTACAAAGGGCTTTATCTATGCATAATATGTTTTTTTTTTTTTGCTTTTTTTTGTAAGTGGAAATGTCATGATGCCATTTCTAACCTTAGGTCTCTGTGTGGGACCTGGAACGAAATGTGTACACACCAGAAATCAAAGGTAATAAAATAATAATAATGATGTAACCTGTTTAATTGCATGAAATCATTGGATGATGATTTGGAGGGACCACTAATAGGAAAATAATTATTAAAATTCTCACCTAAAAGTAGATTGGAAAAAAAAAGAAAGAAAAAAAAACAGAAACAAGTTAAGAATTATATTTTAAACAATAAAATGTGTTTAAAAATGGTTCCAAAGAAAGAAAATATAACCCAGAATTAACTAGTCACAATTCAGTAAAATTGAACAAATTTAAGGTTCTCCATACTATCCACTTCCTGTCAATAAGAAGAAAACATGATTAATGTGTTGTCAGAATTTTGGGGTATGAAAAATGAAATTCAGGGTTTGTTTACATTCAAAATCTCCATCCAAAATGAGTAAATTATTACAGAAAAAAGTCGCCCAAATTCTCTTAAACGAAAGAAGTTATTCTATGTTATGCCTAACTCCCAAATTTGGGGTTTGTTTATATTGATATTCTCTGCCCAAAACAGCATTCTCCTTACAGAAAGAGAAGAAGATTCTTAAACAAAGAGAGAGCCATATATTTATTAACAGATTCACCAAGATTAAGACGGTCATAGGTGGAGAAATTAGATATACCAATGTCAAATTTTAGGGAGAGCAGTCATCTATATAGCCAAGGCCCAAAAGGTCCCAGAGAAACATAGAAAATTGGGCCCAACAAGGAAGGTTTGCTCTAGATAGGTGCCACCTCACAAGAACACACTCACAAAGCATAATAGGCAGTCTTGCTTCTACTTGATTTGAGAAATCTAGCAGTAATGGCTATAAAATATAGCCATTACTGCTAGATTTCTCAAATTACCATCCTGCAGGGAGAGTGGTTAATCTTGCATTAAATAATAGAGGCATTTTATTCATCAGTTTTTTTTTCTTTTTATATTCAATAATAAAGAATAATTAGAGTTATCAACAGTGTCATATTATTGAAGGAGTTCTTATTCCAGCCCTGATTCCCGACAGTCTCTGGATGCAAAGAAACAAATTACCAAGGCCATAGACAAGATCTATACAATCTTGTCTTTGTACACAACATACATTGGGTCTACACTAGACTTTGCCATCAATCCCAATATCATAACATTTTGGGAAACTTGAAATCAACCCTATCGAGACAACATACTGACCCCAACCAAGGAAGGAAAAAAAAGCTAGATGATCTGTAAGGTCAGTGTTACTCAACAAATCTAGTAGAGCTAGTAACTGAGGAGGAGAAAGAGACAGGAAAGGAAAGAGAGTGAAGTGGGGTGTTACAATAATAATAATAATGGCGTAACATAAAAGATGTACATAACTGTATATTCACCCAGCTTGATATTACAAATTTCTATCCATCACTGAAAATTAGATAAGGCTTTCTTTCTAAGACAGGAAGACACAAAAATCACAACATATCAGCTAAAAATGATAAAACACTGCCAAAAATCACTACTATTCAACAACAAAGCAATATGGTTAAAAAAGAAAACAGAGGAAACATCTGATATAACTATAGGAAGCTATGACAGAGCAAAAAAAGTGAACTGGTCAGAATACATATTCTACAGGCAATAGCTAGAATTATTAACCACAAAGATATAGGATAACAGATTCATAATCCTAACTAGTAGAGTTGGTTGGTTTGGCAATTTGTTTCAGTATCAGTTTTTTATTCCTTGATATCACGGTTTTCAATTCATTTTTTTTTTGTTTTTAATTTATTATTTTTGCCTGTCTAAGGAAGGCATTCATTTTCTTGTGTAACAATAACATTTCCAGTTGATATCTGATTTCATTTGAGATTGGTAAATTTGCAACTTAATCTATTCAACTCACAATATCTTGTGTATTTATGGTCCAATCTTAAAAATATTCATATGGCTGGAAAGAAAATAAAATAATATTTCTAAATATTTAATTTGTATGTGCTTTTATTCACTGAATTATTTTTTTTACAGTGAGTTAAAATGGTATTGCTTTGAACAGCTGAAAATGTGAAATATGATACTTTTATTTTTTTTTCCGAGACTAAATTTTACACATTACCTTGTTTCACAAAATCAAAGTGCCCAGGCTTTATCAATATTCTTGAAATTGTACACCCAATTAGAAGACACCTTAAACTACAACCAGGGAGATGTTCATTTCTTCTCTGACCTGAGGAAGCGAATTCCTTCAAAACTTATAAAGTAAGAAAAAAAAAAAAAAGCAAGGCTTTTTACAAATAAATTTCTTGTAAACAAAGAAAATCAATGAGTTATTTTCCCCCTAAATAAATTTATGTTTTTATCTAGTGAATACACATAAAATTAAATATTAAAAATAATTAAAAACTTTTAATTTCATTTTTAGAATGTGTATATTTCAACATCTGCAAGTATCATCTGTTCTTTTTTAGATACACATTTTAAAACTGAAATTAAAAACTATTTTAATCATTTTAATATAATCTTAAGTGTATTATTCGCCAGCTAAATCCATAAAAATATTTGTAAAAATAAAATTAATTTTCCTTGTTTAGAAGAATTTTATATGCAGAACAGTAACAAACACCCACTGAACACTAGTGGCTAAAAAAGAATAATTTTTACTTTGGGTTTTAAAAAAATGACTTGCAGTTTTGAAAATATACACATTTTAAAACTGAGATTAAAAATTAATTTAATTTTTTAATTTTTTTTTTTATTTCTAATTTTAGGTGTATTCACTAGATAGAAACATAATTTTATTTGTAGAAAACAGAGACTCGCATATCTGGAAATATACACATTTTAAAAGTAAAATTAAGAACTATTTTAATTATTCTTAATATCTAATTCAGGTGCATTCCCTAGATAAAAAACAAATTTATTTATTAAAAAAAAATCTTCATTTATTTTTCTTGTTTACAACAACTTTATTTCATGATT